TTGCTTCTCTCCATACTGTGCAAAGTGCTGGCTTTGGCAGATAAAAGCAAGGAGCAAGATGGAAACTTTGGTGGCTCACACAGGAGGTTTGAAAGGAGTGCTGTCCCTTTTTTTGCATCAAATCCAGACACCCTTTTTTCCCTCTTGGTTTCTTGCCTGTGTTAAATTGCTGAATTTTGTTTCATTAAAATAATCGCTGAATGCATTTTACACTAGCTTAGTAGCTGCTCAGCAAAGGCTCAGCCACTAAAGATACCAACCATCTCCTGTGATATACAGGTTAATCTTTATACCACTGGGCCTCAGTGAGCCCTGATGCCCAATCCTCTGCTACATATGTAGCCAAGCAGTTAGGGTGGCCACATACCTGGAAGTCGTATTTTAGGGGGCAGTTTCATTAGGTTTATTAAGAACTCCCTGATGTTTTCCTCAGGTTACTCCAAATTCAGATTTTACACTGCCTTCAAGAAATGTCTCCTGTCATGGGGGTGTTCAGGAGGGAAAAAAACCCCAAAACCCAAAACTGATTCATTCAGCAGCATAGAGAGAACTGGACATTACCTTTACCAGATGCAGTGAAGCTCCATGTCATCCTTGCCTGTAAACTGTGGAACAGCTCAATTGCTTGCAGGAAGTGAGAGAAAAGGAAGACTTCCTTCATTCAAGATGACACACAACATATGCCATACAACATATGCCCTACTGCTTGTGCTATGCTGTTTGAGTGACAACAGTCTGGGCTTTTAATTGTTGTAACCCTAATTAGTAGTTCCGTGACAAATATTTTGGGGCTGGAGTACTGGAGATTTCTTTATAGACTTTAGACCCCATGTAAAAAGTTCACTCCTTACATCCACTCTAATCTTGTCTTAAGTTATTCAGCATATACGTGTGGTACAGTAAAAGAAGCACTGAAGTGTGCTGAACTTGAGATGGTACGCTTTCCAAATCCCCTGCCAGCACAGCTTAGATGAAATTTCTCCTGGAAATACAGCAGTTGTTGTTGACATTCTCTTTCAGTAGGGAAAGGAGAGGTAGAAATGTGGAGACAGACACTGGTTTCATGCTAAACAAAGATGGATGGAATGAAAACATAATTTATCTTAGTTGAACCTTTTTAAAGAAATTAGGTGTTGTTTGTGCCAAACTTTCACATCATAATACTCTGAAACATCCTTGCTTTGTCAGATACATCCCCAAGGAAATTCCATCTATCCCACGTGGTAGATGAGACCCAACATGCCCTCCTGGACCTGAACTTTTTTGGCATGTGTTGTACCCAGTTAAGAACTATTTCAGCCACCTCCAGCTTCTCAGAGCAGCCTTTCGCCAGACTGACTCAGGCACTCACACCGTATCAGCCTCGGGGAAGGGTTGTGGGATCACAAAGAATACAGGGGTGCATCTCACCTCTGCTGTCTCAAGGTGGATGGACACAGGCCACCCTCTCCTGGTTACCCAGATGCCTCTTTTCCAAACTAAGCGATGACACTAAAGCATGCTGTCACCATCCTGGACTCTTTGACCACGGACACCCTCTTGGCAAGCAGGGGCAGGTGGGTTTGGATGGGCTGGCTGGGGGTCCTGGGGAGGGTGCTGGCTGCCTGCTGCATGAGCCACTGCCCCATTCCAAAGGAGCCATCCTGTGTGCTGCATTTAGGCTTTTCTCAGTCAGCTGTTGCAAACCTTTTGTGTCTCCTGCTGGACTTTGTGCCTTAGAAGCCCTGCAGGGCTAAACCTGAGAGACCCACAGGCCAGCCCCTCAACTGGTGTAAATCAGCAGCACTTCTCTGAAAACAACTGAGTCATGTTGATTTATATCAGCAGGTGGATTGCAGATCCCGTCCAGCTTTTCCACCTGTTATACAATGTTTTACTCCCATCTTGTTCATTTTAGTAATAGGAAAGGGATACCAGCTTTCCTAATGAAATGCAGTTTTTCCTGATCCTCTTTTATTTTTATTTTAATGAGGATGTCTAAGATGAGAGAATCCTAAACCGAACACCTGCATTCCACCCAACTCCAGCCTGTAGATACCCATATCACTCAGGCCCATGCTGTGAGGCTGACACTTGGCCCTGCATTGGGTTGAAACAAAATCCCCTACATCAGTATGCCTCTAGCTGGGGGCTGAACATTACAACGCTTTAGCTTGTAGTCAAAAATGTCACAGCATTAATCCCTCTACACAATTTCAGGGATCCTTTTGCCATCTGTCCTAGCACAGAGGTGAACACAACAGCCGAGCAGACAACGTTGCTGCCTGCTTCTTGCTGTCTTAAAACAGAGCTTCTTGCACCCATCTGTTTGCATGTCCCTGCGCGTGAGGCCGTTCCCTGGCACAGTCATCTTCCCAGACAGACGGGCTTTGCACTGGGGACTCATCCCAGCCTGCAGGCGGGAAGTTTGCTGCAGTTCCCAGGGTAACGCCTTTCCCATGAGATGGGGGAGCTGCAGATGGAGTCCACTGCTTTTCCCTGCAATGAGAAGCAGTTTCCACTGGGAGACCCATGAGCGAAGTTTTGCCCTGTGCAAACCACGGCCATTGGCTCGGTTTCCAACCCATCACCTTCTCCAGGGCAGCTGTCCCCTCTCCCCAGCCTGGCCCACTACTGGCGTTTCCCCTTACTTTCTTGAACACAGGAATGTTGACATGGGGGTGGAACGTGGAGCAGTGTTTGCTCCTCAGCCCTGCTGGAACCTGACGCAGGGAGCTGGCGTAGCCCCAAGCCACCTGCCTGTGAGAAGATAACAAGAGGAGCTGCCTGTCGCAGATTAGTTAGAGTCTGGCTGAATAGGCGTTATATAAACCAAGGCTTATTTGTTACCTTTTTTCCCTTAAGGAAGTACCCAAATATTAGTGGAAACTAACTTATCTTTTTTTTTTTTTTTTTTTTTTTTTTTTTTTTTTTTTTTTTTTTTTTTTTTTTTTTTTTTTTTTTTTTTTTTTTTTTTTTTTTTTTTTTTTTTTTTTTTTTTTTTTTTTTTTTTTTTTTTTTTTTTTTTTTTTTTTTTTTTTTTTTTTTTTTTTTTTTTTTTTTTTTTTTTTTTTTTTTTTTTTTTTTTTTTTTTTTTTTTTTTTTTTTTTTTTTTTTTTTTTTTTGCTAAACTTAGCCATGTTATTCTTCCAGGAATTAGCATCCATATCTTTACCTTCTTTTCCTATAAATAGGATTCAGGGACTGATAATTTCTTAGCACTCTCTGGTATTCCTCAACAGCAGCAAAATGACAGCCCTGGGCTTAGCCGCCCCAAGCCACGTTGCCCTGCAGAAGACCACCCCCTGGGCTAGTGCTGGGCCAAGCTTTATGGCAGTGCATTTAAAAATAATAATCCGCCAAAATTTGATTTATAGTGAAAAACGCAAACAAGCAAACAAAAAAAACCAAAACACCGAATGTGTATTTTGAATGGTGTGTCTGCAGAGCCCTGGGATGGAGCTGGCCATTCCCATGCTGAGCCCTGTGTGTGAGGCACAGAGCAATGACTGTGGGCCTCTCCTCCTGGGCAGGACAATCGGCATGATGACAGTGTTTCCCACAGCCAGCTGCTGATATACAGAACATGGACACATTAGGCCGTGCATGCTCATGCAGCTGAACAAATTATTTGGTGAAAGTCACATATCTCAGTAATGAAATGCCATTTCTGTAGGGAGCAGCTACATCCTCCTGGAACAGCCCTACATGGAAAGAGATTAGAAATCAAAGGGAGATAGGAAGTGTTTCTTTTTCCTAGAGTGTTAACCTGTTTAAAAATATTTATTTCAAATAGCCTGCTAATTTTTACATTGCAAATTTTTCTACATTTTGCACTTACTCATTTTTACTGAATAATCCATTTCTCTTGCTCTTTTTGTGGCTCTTTGAAACAGCAATCAGTAAGACTTCCTATTGCAAAGGAAATCTTGGCTAAATATAGTAATGAAGAGGAGGTTGTTTAAGAGCTGCTAGGTATTCTACAGCTCTCTGGTATTCCCTGAATGTTTATTTCAAGCAAGACTTTTTTTTCCCCTTTAAGAAAAACATCATTTTTCAAGAGGAAAGCTCACCAAAGAAATACAGCTACTGGTGCAATACCTGAGATAGTTTTTCACTGTTATATCAGTAATTGCAAAGCCATCAGTATTCCCTATGTGGATATACCCTGTCTGCAAATGGAGAACAATGGCTGTAGGTCTTGCAATAGGTCCTGTAGGTCCTTTGCTCCTGAAAGCAGGTCTAATTTATGGTCTAATTTATGGAAGGGGTTCAGATGTGCAGGTGACCTTCCTTCTTCCTAGTCCTTGGTCCTGCCAGTTAGTGGGAAACTGTGGATGACAGCACATGTGGGAAAGCTCATGTGGATGACAACAGGGCACGAGCACATGTCCTGCCACAGCCACACTCTTGCACTGTTGGCTTGGAGGAGAGCGCAGGGAGACAAAGAAGAAGTGAAGAGGCACCAACCCAGGAGGCAAGTGACCAAAGAGTGTGCCAAGGTGAGTGACAGCAGGGCAGGAACAAGCTAAACTGTTTCTGAAATTACTTTTTTCTTAGACCTGCTCCTGGTGGATGCTGTGCAGCTAATACTGATTCACAGACAGTGGAAGGGATATCTCAGTTTTCACAGGAGCCAAGCTGGGTAGAACTCTGCACCAGCAAGGCAGCATTGGGCAGAATGAGTCGCAGTGAGTGTAGGACAGAGCTTTGCTTTTATCAGTTCCCATGAAATTGGAGAAAGGAAATACCTTCACAAGACAGGGTCCCAGGCAGAGTCTTGAGTGATAGCCACTGGACATCATTAGGCACAACTCCTCCTTGCCAAACCACTTTCCTGGGGCAAAACTGCAGGCACATGAAATTCTAGAGGCAGGCTCACCCCACCTGCCTTCCTTGTCAGGAGAGCCTGACACAGAGTGCCCCTCTCTGGGGGAAAGTCCCTGCCCCTCACTCCCAGAAAAATCATTCCACAACATCACTTACACCTCTGGATCTCTTCTGTCTGTCCCTCCCTCCAGGGAAAGTCTCTGGCAAGCAAGCGCCTCACGGGCCTGATGCAGTCCTCCTGACAGCTCCAGCCGACCGCCCCGCGGGAGAGACAGCTGGGACCACTGCCGGGGACGGGGCATTTCAGGGAGAGCAGGTCCCTGCAGGGAAGACAGCCTGAGCAAGTGGACGCAGAGAGTCACATACCAGTGGAGCACCTCTCTTCACAGTTTACACCAACACTTCCCTGTCTGCACAGCTCCTTAAGGACCCTGAGCTCTGTGCAGGTACTTTGTTTCCAACTGTTTGGAGGAGCACACTTCACCATACACAGGAGGTCGGCAAGGCAAGGGTTTGCTGTCTCGTTCTTTAAAGAAACAGACCCAACCACAGCTTGGAGAAAGAAGAGCTGAAAGAGATCAGTGTTTTTCCACATCTCTTTTCTCCCTGGCACAAACATGACTGTAATAAGATGGCGCCGCAATCTCACTTACTCCCTTTCATGTGGCCATCTGGATCCAATAAAATATCTCCTGGAAGCTGCTTCTCCTTCTCACAAAATCCCAAATGCATTTCACCTGCAGATTCACTGACTTTAACTCTGTTTTTCTTTCCTATGTTTCTCCTCCTTTAAACCAATGAAAGAAAAAAAAAAGGCACTATTTAAGTTCATCACTCATTGTCCTTCCAATATCATGTAGCATGGTCAGAGATGATGGCCAGATCCTCAGCTGAAGTCAGGAGAGCAGGAGTGGTTTTCATCACCTGAGGATCAGCCCCCTTGAGTTAGACTCTGATCCTGGTGCAGATTCTATGACGTTGGTGGAATTGTTCTGCATGTGTGTGCATAGTGCAAAGGTGATCAGACTCTGCCTGATGCTCAAAAAGTCATGTTTGAGATGTGCAATGCACACACAAGCACAAGACTGCGCACACGCACACACACACACACACACACAATTTTAAAGTGAGTTGGTTTATATTTTATTTAATTTTATATTTATTTAAGATTTTCAATACCTAATCAATGATGGATGTTTAAGCTTTTCTCCAAGCAAACCAAACTGGACTCCAGCTCTCGAATCAGAGAGGGCCAAAATCCACTCACATGTGTCCAGAGAAAGGCAACTCTGATGTGGGCAGGTGTCAAAATTCAGCCTACAGAGAGGAGGGAATTGATAGAGACGGGACCAGCAGAAGCAGAGCATGAATGGGCAGGGCCAGGTGACCCTCCCTAAACAGCAGCACACCCAGCTGTGATATGATGCTCAGATAACTGACCCTGCTGAGAAACATCATTCTCAGGGTGAAATTGTACCATTGGAGGAAATGAGCTTCCACTAAAACTCATCTGACCTGCAGCCCATGAATGCAACAGCAAAAGATGACACAGTAGCTTGTTTCAAGCTGTTGGAGGTAAGAAGGTCAGGATGATGACAGGACTGAAGTGACTTTATTAAGAAATCTACTTATACAAGTTGCAGATAGGAAAATGGCCTGCATTCACATACAATATACTATCTATATATAAAAAGAACTTCAAGATCCAGCTGACTTAGTACCACAAAATCTCTGATATTTTGTAAGCAGTTCAGATCTGAAGCATACATTAAACTAGACATTTCTTGGTCTTCTTCACTCATGCCAAGGCAAATTGGCTTTTTGTACAGGTGGTAGAAACTGCTGTGTGGCTACAAGTCTGCATTCCTACCTAGGCAAAACCATCTAGCTAAGTAGACAGCTGGCTATCGACAACATTCACTTCTGAGGCAAGTATTATTCTAATATCTAAGGCCTATGTATGCACAAAAACATGCCAGCATAGTTTCTGTCATAAAAAGTACCTTCCTCTTTGCCCGTGACAGTTCTCAATCTGATATCTATTATTTCCTGCAGAAAAGTCATAATATCAATTATACCTAAGGTCCATACACCTGCATGAATGTACAATAGACTACTGAGTAGGATGTTTGTTCTTTACACATGCCTATACCCTATAAACAGCCTGCTGTCTGAGGCCTTCAGACCAAATTCATCCTACACATACATGACACACAAGAGAGTTCCAGTACTGCAGAACTGCCATGAATGTCCCTGACATTCCTGTTGTTCCCCTGACTCTGAAGAGGACATTTGGTCCCTTCCAAATTGTCCCTTAGCTGTCCTTGCAGGACTCATTTGTCTTGTCCTCTATTGCCCACCCAGCCAAGCAGGTCTTTCTGCAATAGGTTCACATGTCCATTCATGCATATGCATATGTGTCCCCTTGGTCATCCCTACAAAAATGCAGAGGTCATCTCTTCTCAGAGCCTTGTAGATGGTTTTTTTATCTCTGTCAAACCCACCAGTGCCATGCATCACTGGAGTTCTGTAAACCAACAACTGCTCACACTCCAAGCTACTCTACTGCCAGTGCTGCCCAGCCACAAGGCATTTCCCATAGGAGCTCTGTCTTGCGAACTCTCAAACTGGTCTGCAGAGCATTCCTGAGCAAGACGTACAATATAAATTGTACATTGCAATATAAAACATGAAATCGGTGTGCAGCAAGGAGCAAGGATGGTAATTGGTACATGTGGGTCTCTGCTTTGCAGTGAGTTCCTGACACTGGTGAGGTCTCCTGGGGGAAGAATGAGGTAGCTCCAAAGACGTACTCCTCAGGTCCTGCAGCATGGGGGCACATGTGGACAGGACTAGAGAATGCTGGTGGGTGATAGGAAGGGTGAAATTTGGGTTATGGTCAGTGCAGGCAGCAGAAATGCCAGACTTCAACTGGGGGATGTGCTGCTGCCCTGTGAGCAACGCACTCTGCTTTGTCTTTCAGCTTCATTCGTGCAGGACGGTCATGCTGGCTGCCACAGTATTTTGCCTGTGGGGAATATTCCGTGTTTGAACAGTTGAGCGCATGGAGGGAATTCTTACAGAGATGGAGAGTATGCATATGGGCCTGCATCAGGGGGCCTGGATGCTGAACAGCTTGCCATTTAAATGCACACTCGTGCAAACTAATCTGCTCAGCAATGGCTAGCTGAGCGGACAGAGCTGCATATCCTCTGGAGGGAAGAATGCTCTGCTCCTCTTTTCCTGACTAAATTTCTCCAAAACAAACATGAGAGTAGACAAGGCCTCCTCCTGGGAATACATATCAACTGTTCTTTACATGTCTTTTACTTCACATATGGTGATACTAACATGTAACTACTTCCACATGAACCACATCCTTGAATTATTGCTTTTTAATGACCTTGCTTATTCCAAGTGATGCTACTTTTGTACACCCATTGAGCATTGCAAGCAGTAATCTGCTGCTTTGTAAGTGTCCAGTGTCTTCCAACTACCTCATCATGCTGAAGATGAGTTAGGAAATCAGCTTTCCACCTCTGTTTATGTTCTAAATGGCATCAATTCAAGGAAAGACAGTCTGGAAAGCTTTTACATGTCCAAGCTGTGCAAGCTAGCTACAAAACTTCCCATACTTACAGGGCTATGGCTGTGAAACATGGCTGTGCACTGTTATTTGGATAACAGAGTATCCAGAGCATTTGTGGCTATTGTAGCAAAACAGCAGCAGGACGAGCACTCAGAAAGGTTCAACAAGCCAGTGCAGACAGTGTTAGGCTGAAGCAAATGGATTAATGTACTCTCAGTATAACTCAGCACTAAGATCCCATAGAGTACTGTAATAAAGTGGTAGCAGGGCAGCCATAAAAAGTGGCAGTAAGCTGACATAATAATACCAGAATAAATGTAGCAATAAGGTAACACAGGCCACTGCAGTAAAGTAGCATTTTGATAATGCAGCAATAAGACACAACAGGATGCTGCAGTAAATTAGTTTGGGGAATAAGGCAGTAATAACAGTGTGTGTGGACAAACAGTGGTACATTTGTACCAGGTACTGCAGCAATAAAGATAACACAAGATGTCCAAGTAATAAGTTACTACAGTAACAACAACATGATGCACTGTAAAGTTATATCAGGATGCTTCCATGCTGCAGTCAAATCCTACAAGAGGTGGTAGTGAGACAATGAAGACAAAATATACCCCATTTCAGACTGCAGAACATGAACCAGTTTTCTGCACCGTAACCCAAATTCTGGAATGATCTCAGCAATACCAATCCTCTCGTTCCTGCTTTCAAGGAAGCTGAGGCAAGAGTGTCCCTCCACCCTGATAATTATTTTGGTCTGAAAATACAAAAGTGACTCATTGTCTCTTCAGCCAAATTGTCACAGACAAGTGAAGTTCTTTGTTTAGTCCTACTGAGGTGAAACCTTTGTGGTTTTGGTAAGTCCTTTGCCTTCAAAAGGATTTGGCTCTCTCATCTTCTGCCATGGGTGATGCTTTTAGCCTAAAATTATTTGTGTTTTGGGTGGGAGAATGGGAACTCAGGTACAGAACATCTGACTGTACCAGTCTGTTTCCTAAAATGCACAAATAAATGGAGCATCCTGGAAAAGTCAAAGCAACAAGGACCAAATCTGTTCTGTCTGTCATGTACTCATGCACACAGGAAAAATCCTCCTGGAACCAGTGTAAGCCCTGGATGCATCCATGGGCAGGCCTTGGCCTAACTCTATTCTCAGTGTCCCCAGCAGAGTTACAGAAGCAGTGTGTCTCTCCTTTCCTGCTTTTCCATATATATATTATTTTATTTTATTTTAATCTAACCTCACCTTCTGTATGAAATGGTCTTGGAAAAAAATTAGTTTGCCATATCACAATATGCAGCATCATGGGCAAGGAATAGGTCTGTCCAAGGAATTTGCTGTCTTTGTACTCTTCAGTAGAGGAGTCAAGCATTCTGAAAAATAACCAGCAACTGCTGTTATACTCAATAATCATCAGGAATAAGGGTTTAGTCAGACCATCTACATTAACAACAAGACTTGAGTGGAGTGTGTGTGCTAGATAACAAGATGGTCTCCTGGGAGAAGGATGTAAATAGGGCACAACTGCAGAGTCTTGACTAGCAAGAGCAGCTCATAGCTTCACAATTGACAACGGATACAAATTTTCTGTTACATCTTTCTGACCCTTTGCACAACGACTTTGCTATCCTTTTGTGTGGCTTCCTCTGTCTCTAGGTGACTGCTCAGTTC